GAAACTGGCAAACACCACAAACCAGGGCTTGATTTATTCTTTTGTTGACTGTCTAGACTTAAGAAAGTTATGGAGAAAACATTAATAATGTACATTAAGCTTAAATGTATATTGTGCCTGTAGGCATTACAATGTGAAAAGCACTGAAAATTTAAGTAAGTAGTCGTCCAGTATTCAAAAACTATTATCTGATTCAGCAAAGAAATTGCTCATAGCGTTGGCCAGTTAAGTGAAGTTCCAACATATGTCTTCATTGTTTCAGTTTTTTTTTTTACTAATTGATGCAAATGAAAATATCAGCCAGCATTCATGCAGGGAATACGCTGGTTTGTCAGTTGCAACTATAGGTTGGCTGTGGACTCAGGAGTGTGGCAAAAATCAATGAAACATTCTGTAAGACACTTGTATATGTGCACTTTACAATAAAGAGTGCTGCCATCAATAGATGAATGGATAAACAAAACGTGGTACCTACATGCGATGGAACATTACTCTGCCATGAAGAGAAACGAAGTCCTGATACATGCTACAACAATGAATCTTGAAAACATTAAGATGAGCGAAATAAACAAAAACAAAAAAACTCAAACCCATTGCCATCGAATTGATTCCGACTCATAGTAACCCTATAGGACAGAGTAGAACTGCCCCACAGGGTTTCCAGACAGTGGCTGGTGGATTTGAACTGCTGACCTTTTGGTTAGCAGCTGAGCTTTAACCACTGCACACCGGGACTCCAAGTGAAACAAGTCAGTCACAAAAGGACAAATATTGTATGATCCCACTTATATGAAATATTTAGAATGGGCAAATATGTACAGACCAAAATCTATTAGTGGCTACCGGGGCGGGTAGGAGGGGAAGAGAGAGCCATTGCTTAAAGGGCATTTTCTGTTAATGGTGTTGGAAAAATTTTGGAAACAGTGGTGATGGTTGCATGACATGATGAATGTAATTAATGCCACTGAGTTGTACACCTAAAAAATGTTGAAATGGCAAATATTTTGTTATATGTATTTCTACCACAATAAAAAGTACTGTATCTTTTATTATTTTGTAAATTGTCAAATATCCTTTATGTCAATAAAAATCGCTTATAAAAAATTGAGTGTGTGTGTGTGCATGCGTGCATGCACATGTACACACACATTCCCTCAGAGAACCTGTTGTTGACGTTTACCAGCTCACCACAGGGCAGATTGCCATAGGCTGAGGAATAATCAGGAGCCTTGGTGGCGCAGTGGTTAAGCATTCGGCTGCTAACCAAAAGGTTGGCAGTTCAAATCCACCAGCCGCTCCTTGGAAACCCTGTGGGACAGTTCTACTCTGTCCTATAGGGTCGCTATGAGATGGAATCGACTCGACAGCAAAAGAGTTTGACTCTTTGAAAGGATTCCCAGAAGAGGGAGGGGATCATTGGTGGAGAGACTCCTGAGGAGAGAGGAGGGGTGAGTAGGTGAAGCTCAAAGTCATCTACAGAAAATGAGAGACAGAGAAGGAACTAAGGAAGGGCCAGGGCACAGCCTTAAGAAGCTAGTGTGGGGCAAACAGAAGGAACCTGGGAGAGGAAGAAGGCTCAGAAAGTCATAAAGAACCCAGATAACAACAGAATCCTCACTGTGAGAGCCAGAGGATAGAGTGCAAGGCAGATTCCACGACTGGGCTCCACGTTATGGTATGAGTTCTTTCATTTCTTTCTCAGGACAACCCCATGAGGAAACTGAGGCTTGCAAAGGCTAAGTCGTTCATTCGAGGCTCACAGCCAGTAAGTGGCTGAGCTAGAATTTGAATTCCGGCAGCCTAGCTCTATTGACAAGGCAGGAGAAGGCAGAGAGGCACCTTTCTCTTTAGCAAAGCCCCTCAGACTATGCACTGGAATTGCTCCAGGACAGAGATAGGCAGGACAGGTGTGGCCGAATGTCAAGGGCCCAAGGGCATCAAAACGACTGGCAAAGCCCCCTCTCATCTCTACTCACAATCTAGTGTCCACCTCCTGGCACGTCCGTGTCACCTGATGCTTGTTAGTAGTCTACAATGTCTACTGAATATAGTGGTAAAGAACCAGGGATTGCATTTTTTATATCTTTGTTTATTTAATTTTATTTTCCAGTAATTCATTCTTCTTTTTTAAATTTTTTATTGCAGTGAAAATATACACCACAAAACATTTGCAATTCCACAATTTCCACATGTACAATTCAGCGACATTAATCACATTCTTCATGTTGTGCAACCGCTACCAGTATCTTTTTCCGAATGATTCCACCACCATTAACGTAAACTCTATGTCCCCTAAGCAAAAATTCCCACTTCCCCCTCCCTCCCACCCCTGGTTGTTGTTGTGTTAGATGCCGTGGAGTTGGTTCCCACTCACAGCGACCCCTGTGTACAACAGAATGAAACACTGCCAGGTCCTGCTCCATCCTCACGATCATTGTTATGTTTGAGCTCATTTTTGCAGCCACTATGTCAATCCATCTCATCGAGAGTTTCCTCTTTTTCCCTGACCCTCTGCTTTAGCAAGCATGATGTCCTTTTCCAGGGACTGGTCTTCCTGATACCATGCCCAAAATATGTAAGATGAAGTCTTACCACCTTCCCTTCTAAGGAACGTTCTGGCTGTACTTCTTCTAAGGCAGATTTGTTCATTCTTCCGGCAGTCCATGGTATAGTCAATATTCTTCACCCACGCCATAATTCAAAGTCATCAATTCTTCTGCGGTCTTCCTTATTCATTTTCCAGCTTTCACATGCATATGAGGCGATTGAAAATACCATGGCTTGGGTCAGGCGCACCTTAGTCCTTAAAGTGACATCTTTGCTTTTTAACACTTTAAAGAGGTCTTTTGCAACAGATTTGCCCAAGCTGTCATTTGATTTCTTGACTACTTCCGTGGGCATTGATTGTGGATCCAAGTAAAATGAAATCCTTGACAACATCAGTCTTTTCTCCATTTATGATGATGTTGCTTATTCGTCCAATTGTGAGGATTTTTTAAAAAAAATTTATTACATTTTAGGTGAAAATTTACAGTGCAGATTAGTTTCTCATTCAAAAATTTATACACAATTTTTTTGTGACATTGTTTGCAATCCCTGCAGTGTATCAGCACTCTCCCCTTTCTCTTTACACCCTGGGTTTCCCATGTCCGTTCGTCTAGGTTTCCTGTCCCTTCCTGTCTTCTTGTCTTTGCTTTTGGGCAGGAGTTGCCCATTTGGTCTCGTAGACTTGATTGAACTAAGAAGCACGTTCCTCACGTGTGTTATTGTTTGCTTTTATAGGCCTGTCTTATCTTTGGCTGAAAGGTGGACTTTGGAAGTGGCTTCAGTTCTGAGTTAAAAGGGTGTCAGATTCCTCCAGTCTCTGTCAGACCAGGAAGTTTGGTCTTTTTTGTGTGAATTTGAATTTTGTTCTATATTTGTTTCCTGCTTTATATGGATCCCTTTATTGTGATCCCTATCAGAGAGGTCATTTGTGAGGATTTTTGTTTTCTTTATGTTGAGGTGTACCCCATACTGAAGGCCGTAGTCTTTGATCTTCATCAGTAAGTGCTTCAAGTCCTCTTCACTTTCAGCAAGCAAGGTTGTGTCATCTGCATATCGCAGGCTATTAATGAGTCTTCCTCTAATCCTGATGCCGAGTTCTTCTTCATATAGTCCAGCTTCTCAAATTATTTGTTCAGCATACAGATTGAGTAAGTATGGTGAAAGGATACAATCCTGACGCTCACCTTTCGTGATTTTAAACCACCAACACTGGTAACCACTAGTAATCTTTGTTTCTACATCTTGGCTTATTTCATGTAAGTGGGATCATACAGTCTTTGT